GCTACTGAACTTTTCACAATCTCGACATAAAAACTTCAATCTGCCAAGCCACAATTTGAACAATATTCCGGACAAACCAATGTATTGATTGCCTATGCAAAGAAGACGAATAGGATATAGATTTCGTATCATCCATATGTTGGGGTTTTACAATCGGATAGTTCCTCAAACGAAGTCCAGGAAAACTGAGTTGCTGTGTGACGCTCAAGAGTTGATCGAGTTGATTTCGTTTGGACATTAGAGGTTACGGTATTTCTATCATTATTATTTCGAATCGTTCATGAATTTGTGAACAAATGCTGTTTATGAAAAATCACTTGAGGTATGAATTAGTGTGAACATTAACAGAATACCTTCATGACGAAAAAAGCCCGTGTTACTCAGTTGCTAGAAATCAAACACGGTGGTTTTCACATTTGAAGGTTAGATTAGGCGATAGTTGTATGTTTGTCGTCGTACTGACAAACATATTCCTTCCCATAATTGTTATCTGGTTAGCATTAGTAAGTAGTATTACTGTAGGAGGTGATAACGTTTATATTATCAATGATATTTTTACCATTGATATCTTTTTCAGGGTGAGTTTGTGTTAGCATTGGTACTGATAATGCAACGAGTAGTATATTTCTATCAATCACACGTCTCCCTTCCTAAGTTCACTCTCCTGCTACCCCCCCCCCCCCCCCCTTGTCTCTCGCGTACCCTAGGATTTTCTCTCGGCCAGATACGTGCGACTACGCTTTCAGAAGCTTCAGACACTCTCCGGTGATTGGATGGCCATGCCCAATCAGCTGGACAGTTCTGTTTACAATCGCGTAAGTCAGAATTGTTTCTAGTTTGATGTAACTGTCACGTCAGTGGTCATCATTGAATGAAATAAGTAACGCCATGCCGGCTGGGTTGGGTTAGGGGATGAAATTCATTCCGTTCGGGTCTTATGAGTATGTTGATAAAATGTAGGAGACTCCGTCACCCATCCATCCACACACACACACACACACACACTCCGTTGCATGACACTTGTCCGATGCTCCCTTCCTCAAAATGGTCTCCACATATCTGAGTTTCTTTCAGTAAGGCAGACGTAAGTATACTACTCACTCAACCACCAAACAACAGCTCATCAAACGGTTTATTGATTCTCCTTATACACGAAATAGCACGACCTGTGAGGTTCCAGGTTCGGTCCCCCGTTTAGTAGATGGATTCGTGCTACTGATGACACCGAACCAGGGTGAAACGACTTTTCGTTTCACGCTTCCTTCGTTCTTTACATGACGAAATTTATTATATCAATGCATTAGTTTTATTACTATCGAATGAATTATGGAAAGCCATTCCCTGATTGTTTAGTTATACGCTTTGGTCCCGTTTATGCCATTAAGATTTTTCTCCGCGAGTCCACACACATGCACACATTGTATCGCTTTTCACTTAAATGTTCTCAAAGATTAATACACACACACACATAGACTTACATGTGCACTCTTTTCGTGCGAGCAATTTGTGAATAAAAGAAGCCACCGCGATAGGCAACCAATCGACTAATAGGGATATTAAAGCGTAAGATAATCTTAAAGAAAATAGTTATGAAAGATCAAAACTTGTTGATTCAGAATAGTCTGTTTATTGTTCACACACGCACACCGTATTCCATAGCTTCTTCTTTGGTTTGATTTAGGCCCACATCAACTTGCGGATTCCAGTGTCAGTAAAAGGCACATTTCCGAACTGCATAATTGTTATTCCACTTATGGATAGAAAACGGAAGCGAAGCCGTACCGTCTGCAAAACCAATCGAATATATATCCGTTCTCATCGTCTGCTTTGCTGTTATCAAACGAGTGTACACAATATCCCCGGATGCACGGATTTTGTGGTCAAGAGACACGGGTGGGGATTCACAGTATTCATCTATCTGGGTGTTTCTATACGCATCTGATTTTCCGAAAAGCGTGCAGCATCTGAACAGCGTGAAAGCAATCCCCCCAGGAAGCTCCGTTCGTGTTTTGTTGTTATTGATAATCGAATCGTATGACCTTTATAGTGAGGACTGGAACAATGAAAACATCATCCGATGTGATACTATGTTAATCTAGCGGTAATACCGAATGATGAGATTGGGTTTTATGCATCGGATACCGTTTGAATGGAGACCCACAATTGTTTGTTTTGAAGATGTTTTGAAAATGGGTTTCAGCTATTTACCGGTCAATCGTAGACCTGTTCGCGCTGATGTCTTTGCCAAGTATGACATAAATGGAAGAGTATTTTGATAATATATCGTTATTTGCGCTACTTTTCAAGGCAGCTGACGAAGAACTCGCTCTGGCTATGGGCTGTGATGTGTTATAAGGCTTGTCGAGGCAACCTGGGGTGGGGTTAATTCATCTGTCCAAATTTGTGTAACCTTCCAACACCACACTATAGATAAATAGGCATAATATGTATGTATTGTCTAGTCCAGTATAGACCGATCCGGCACATACTGTTTGCTATTAAGTTTACAATATAGTTCACGAAACTGGGTCCAGTTTTAACCGGACTGCATTGGTGCGGTATGAATGATCCGACCAATGGTATGATTCGACAAGTTCACTTTTTCATGGTTTACCGTGTCGAATGAACTTGGATACGGTATAAACCGGGCGTCATTCCGATTGCATATAGGCGCACAATTACCCTCCGGTATGTCGCACAAATACATACACACACACACACGAATATGGTGTATACATTTATCCAAATCTCGTATCCAGTCGAAGCGCGGGCTCACGCGTGCGTACACAAGCGCATACACACACGATTGCCTCGATTCACGTCAGTCATACCCGAAGCGGAATGCATCACGATCTTGTTTATGTTCATTGTGAGATGTTCCATTAGAGTGCGAGATCGAGAGAGAGAGGACATGAAGACATGTAATCCGGTCCTTGGAAAACGGTGTGCTGTCGCACTCACTCAGTCACACACACACACACACACACATAATGAGAGCTGTGTGGGGCTCTGAGATCAGGAGCGATTCACTCGCTGGCTCCGGGCCAAACAGCGATTTGGAGACCTCCATCCCATGCGCGCGCGTACGCACACATGCACACATTCAAGGATTGTTGTCCTCATGATGATCGTGTAAATACCATTGCGCAGTTAGCAGAATGCTGAAATTTTACTGCTCTACTCATTCAATTATGGTTCCTATCGTCACAGAACTTCGGTACGCAAACATGAAGATGCTAAATGTAAATACCATTTAAGCACATGCCCTCATTCCAGTTCCGGGGGCCACGCGGCTGTGACCTGTTTGCGTACATAGACCGGCATGAATTTTGCGGTTCTGAGGGTATGATGCACATGATTTGTGAACCGAAATGAAAATAAGACCCCCGACCGGGGATGGATTTTCATTACGACCAGATCGATCTCACTCGTTATGTTCTTGTAGCCGAACTCGTTTTTAAGGTTTGGTTACCACAGCTAACGTTTTTCAAACCTGTTATCGGAGCACAATATTCACCGGTTCAGTTTACGACCAGTCTGTAGTCGAATATCAACCCTGGAATCAATCACCACCACTCAGCCTGCCCCAATCCCATACACACACACATACACACATTCCAATCAGAATGTAAACATGGCTGCTGCATTCAAACGACACTAATCTATCATTGTGTAATGATGGCATTGAATTCCGGGAATGATGTATGCATCATACTGTTGTGCATATGCGAGCGCCCTCCGATAAACATCCGCCCTGAGTGTAAACGACCGTGGAGAATCGTCTCCTGTCTCTGGTCGTTACATTATAACCAGCCCTCGAAATCGGCAAGGGTCAGGCTGGTTTTCTCTTGGATCGTGGAAAGCGAGAATCATGCGTGAACAAGAAACAAATGGATTGACTTGTTGACTGTAACACCAGCGGGTATAGGGAATCTTTCAACTCGAATGAGCACGATCCTTCTCGGAGTCAGGCTAAGTGTGAAACGATAGATGAGCGAGCTGCTAGAGGTTTCATTCTTTATGCAGTTGTCTACACAAATACGGATGTGAATCAAACATCAGTAAACTAAATATTAATGTTGGGTTGTGACAAAAGGTAACAACCAACGAGTGGGCCACCAAGATCGTTCAATCAAATGGATGCGGCGGTAAACAATCAAGGAAAACTGTTTAAGAATCAATCCAATTGATAAATGATTAAGACCAGTTACCGGACAACATTTTAAGGATTGCTGTTGTTTAGAAAAGCTACATTGTCGAAAGCAAACCGGTTTGTGTAGGTGATAATGCTAATGGTTGAGGGATTGAGATGTTCCGAGGCTTTAAAAAGCTATCACTTTTCGAGAGCGCTACATTGGGCAAATAAGAGAGTGCATGACTTTACTTTCAGGCATATGAGTTTTATCCAGTAGATTCACCCAGCTAGGCAAAGGTAACCTGTCATGAAATTCCGTGGCAGCATTACACATAGTCAATTCTCCTTGTTTGTTTATAGATTCATGAGTAGTGAGTGCATACGCACCGGGTTTTCATCACTACCCTCCAAAATAATGATCTCAAAAAGTCAACACAAAATTACCTTGACCATGAAAAACGAATGAATGAATCCGAGCCGGATGTGATAGGGCGTGTGGCTCACAAAAGCGGTCATGTGAAGAGCCCGCACGTTTGCGATTGTAGACTGTTTGAGAGACAGACCCAGGTGAGCACGAATAATTGGTTAGGTGAAGTCTTGAATGATAGTCAAAGTCTATTCTGGTAGATCAGAAGAGACTAACCAGGGGAGAACGGTTGAGTGTGATAGGAGTAGAGCTTGGAAAGGGGTAGGTGAATCGTTTTTAATTGTTTTACGATCCGAAACCAGTGACGTAATTTGCCAACACAGAGTTGTGCTTACGAAGAACACTGCAAGTTATTTACAGAGAGCGAGAGAGAGTTAACAAGTGATGACTACCTATCTCTCTCGACATATTCAAAAGGATATTGGTACAGACCACGATAAACGGAATGTGTTTGAAAGTACACTGAACTAATATAAGTTGGCATAAAGTTGGAAACAGTTCCACATTATCAGAAATTGTACTGAATGTTACGGGCAAGGAACACGAGGGTTGATGTGTTAAGTTATGCGAAAGTTCGAGCGCTTTGAACAGTCCCGTGTGATTAATCAAAGGCTTTCAAAACGTCCCGAGAAATGGCCCTTCACTCAAGATAATACTGTTTCGGCAAACCCTGAGGGCCCTGAGGGCAGTACGTTTGGAAGATGAGGATGATTCGGGGA